GTACATAATAATAGTAAATGAGATGCTCTTCACAAAAGATAATAAAATTCTTACTTCACTTCTGAACATCACTTTCTGTCAGTTGTTATAAAGTTTTGTATTTTGTATAACAATTCACGTAATGCTTTGCGTGTTTGTATACAAAATAATACAATATATTTATCATCAATAACCAAAACTCAATCATATGTTTGTCTTGAAATTGTTTTATAAAAGTTCCACACTAAATTATAAATATACGCATTTTTGCGTATATTTATACAAATATTTTAATGATATCAAAAATATACAAAACAAAGTATGAATTTAATGAATTTGATTTTATAAGAAATGTCACCAAAAATTCAAATATATCTTTAAAGTTGTTGGGCTTATATTACTTGTAGTTTAATAATTATTATAATATGAAATAAATATAAATTGTTTTGCATTATTATATAATTTTCTAAATTAAATAATGGCAATAAGAATAGCTGAGGAATATTTTCTTATACTTTCTTTGTATGGAATAAATATATTACTAGTATTTTAGAGGAAAATAACTATAACTTAGATATCAATTGAAATTCCAATTGAAAACCTTATTTAAGTACAGCATTGAAAGCTCTGGTCTGCACCTGATATCCACCAGTTATGCTTCAGTTGAATGAATTTTGTTGGGAAACATGAGATCTGATATATATTTTTTGTATTGTTAGCACAAATCAAATGCTAATATAGCAGTGCANATTGAAAGCTCTGGTCTGCACCTGATATCCACCAGTTATGCTTCAGTTGAATGAATTTTGTTGGGAAACATGAGATCTGATATATATTTTTTGTATTGTTAGCACAAATCAAATGCTAATATAGCAGTGCATACCTAATACCGGCTTTAGATCCGTAAGGTGTGCGCCCGTTAAACAGCGTAACCAATAAGTTATATGCATGTGATCTGCAATTTATTCATTGAAAAAAATAACAGTCAAAAAAAGTATTGCACAATTGATCGCCCAGTGCTGGTGAGGGTGATGATGGTTGTGGTGCACCTGCACTATACATGTCCGCTTTCATGTATAAAGCAAATCAAGTCAAATGCTCACAGAGATAGTGACTGCTAAACCACTAACAGGACCCACAAATGTGACACACATGCAATACATACACACATCCACACCACCACAGTGTGTGTGCACCGACATCCAGGTGCGAGAGTTATTAAATGAAATGGAAATCTGTTCAAAAAAAGCTTCAATATTCTCCTATAGTTGATGCACAGCCTATGGGTTGGGTTAATGTTTGGGTCCATTTCCGTTATTAGTCTTTTTGCATATTAACGGCAGTATTACGTAAAAAAACTAAAGGATGACCTCTTTTCCGACCTTTTATGGGAACAATCATTTGCATCGTTATTGTTGTGGCTTTCGCTCAACCGTTTCGTTGATATTATTTGTTAATTATATTATAATGTATTCAATAATTATGTTTTAAACACAAAAATATTTGACAACAAATAAACTGAAAGCTTTTTATATTTCAATATAAATAATATTAAATGACTTTTCATAACATGATTTAGAAGTTCCGCTATAATTAGTAATTGTTTGCAACTCATAAAAAACTCATAATATTTGACAACAAATAAACTGAAAGCTTTTTATATTTCAATATAAATAATATTAAATGACTTTTCATAACATGATTTAGAAGTTCCGCTATAATTAGTAATTGTTTGCAACTCATAAAAAACTCATACATTCAATACTGACTGCCGGACACCACAACCAAACAGTATAAACACTTCAATTATATGAATTATACTTTTATCATTCATATTATCTATATGAATTATCTAGATATATTATTATATGCATCATATAATAACAAATATAGTAATCGCAAAAATCATGTAAATCTCTCATTAATTTACATTTTTCTAATAATATTTATTAATTACAATAATATAAGATTTAGTTTAAAATAATAAAAGTAGATAGATTATAAAGTATATGGTATAAAAAATTATTATAATTAATATGTGTATCACAACTGATGCACTTAATTTCTTAGCTCTGATAATTATAAATAATATCAAATCATATTTTAACGAGTCATGTATTCACCAATTGGTGATGTTCTTTACAGAGTAAGTTTTAATAAGTTAATTATTTAACAAAATATAATATGCATAATAATTATTTTGTTTAAAATAATCAAATTATTGTTATCGCAGCAAGTGAAATTATTTATAAAATAAAGTTTGTTTAGTTAAAATGTAATACATGTATAATAAAAATCTAAATCCAATATTATTCACTAATCTGTGTTGAATATGTTTTATAATAATTTACTCATTCATTTGTATAATTATATAAATTAGGATTGTACAGTATTCTAATATCTACACTCAAATTTAGCACAATCATAATATAACTTTATGTGTTTACATCATGTTATTTAAAATAATATGAAATTATATTTTTAAATTAAATTTCAAAATATTTTTTGTTTTGAAAATCATATTTTGGGAAAATTTGATAGAATTCTATATTGTATTATACAGTAGTGTTGAGGGTTTTATATTGTATAATGTGTTGCATTTATGGTGTAATAGAGACCGCAAATCAATAAGTGGTCTTCTTTTGAGTAATTCATTTGCATTTAGAAACTTCTATCTCTAATGAAATAAGTGAAAACTCATGTACTCCTATCAGTGCTCTCTCTCTCTCTCTCTCTCTCTCTCTCTCTCTCTCTCTCTCTTCTGCCCAAAAATATATCTCATATTAATATAAGATCTGTCTTATAGTGTATAGAATGAACTCTGTTTTGGATACAATTTATAGAGACCTGACTCTAACGGTCTCATGACTTCCAATACAACCTTTCATATGATAACCAAAACCTAATGTCAAATAAAGTAAACACCAAAATATACTTTTATAATCATTTATAAATCACGGAATAACAGGGAATAGCAATGAAAGTGTATATACGAGTCACCGCTTTTATCTCAAATCATAAGTACTGTACAGTATGTTAGATAAAGTATAGATTTTTTGTATCAAATAATTTGCGAACTTTTCACAAACTAATGATAATTTATTTGATATAGTTTTACTTGAAAACACTTTTATAAATCAATATTATTTTGTAATAAATGAAGTTATTTTCAATCGATTTAAAATATTACTATAGATAAAAACTTTAAACATTTAATAAATACAATTCTATATAATTATAATGTTTTATACATTAATATTCAGCATATTTTGAGATTTGGAGAATATTCTATCTGTTAAAATAATTTAAACACTAGTTTAATTATTATTATACATTTTACCAAGTTATTAGTATAGTTTAATTAGTTTAATTAAAAATAAGTTAAATTGTTGGGCATTAAATAGGTTTTAGATATTAAAAATGCATGATATAATTTATATTTCAAATTTATTTGATTAATATCATAATACTCTATTATGCTTTGCACCGTGAAGAATGTGCTAAAACGAACTAGGTATATTTTTATAAGCATTTCAATCTTTTGGGCTTCAGATTTTAAATTCAACGTGAAATTAATTTAGAGTATAATTTTTAAAGTATAAATATAGTTTATAGTAATATAATAAACTTTGCATTTAATTAATATAATTATATTAAAAGATGATTACTCTTATTTATTAAAATTTTAACAATTCATAAATAATAGAATATTTTTAGTTTAAATGCCATATATCTTGTTGTTAGCGTTATCTGTTGGAACTAATGGTAATATTAGGTGAAAAGTTTAGAAAAATGGTTTAACAAAATATATACCAATTAATTTTAAAAAAAACTTTTAATCACTATTATGATTAAATTAGTGTGAAGTTATTAACTAATACTTTATAGTAAGTTGTATTGGGCATTTTAATCAATTATTATTCATTATGACAATAAAAATATAATATTTTGGTACAGTGAAATATATTAATATTGTTAATGACTATAGTTAAAATTAAATTTTCTGAATTGTTAATTATTATATCAGATATAGTATATTACGTAACAAAGACACTAATATTAAAACATTGAGAATACTATTAAACTATCAAATAATACAATGAATTGTAATTTAGTTGTAAATGTGAGCCAATACTTGTGTGTCATCTGTTGTTTCAATTGTTAAATAAATTATTTCCAAACGAATAGAAGCGACGAAATGATAGAAATGTTGATTTATTTTTCATAATTCAATGCGCGGAAAGGGGAGGGGGGCCGAACGATCCTATAAAGCACATTATTCATAGCTGAATTGTGGTTACAAATAAAATCCATCATATTAATAGTATTAACTCGCTTAGGCATAAAAACGGGACATTCTTATTTGTTATTATAAATACACATGATATTTTCTCTGCAAACTTTTAATTTAGTTTGAGACATTATTTTAATTGTACTGGCACATTCTAATAACATTGTTATTATGATGTACTTTTTGGTAAAACCGCCTTTATTACTTTAACGCTCTCAAATGATGGTAAATTAAATATTTAAATCAAGATATACTGCATTCATAGTTAATTTTTATTAATCAAATTTTTGATTCAATTTACATGTAATTATATTTTCTGTATTAAAGTATTTCAATATTAAAGTTCATTTTTTTCAGTCGGCGATAAAAAATGAAGTTAAAAATATTAATAAATAATTTTTGTTTGCATTGAAATTGTATAAAATTGAACAAAACATGGATTGCTATACAACTAATCGGTGTCTTCGGACTCCGTATCGATATTATTGATGTCAATGGACTCATTGAAACGGACCGGGTATTCGAGTTGACTCCCTTTGTCCCAAGTGTACAGCTTTTGATACTTTGGATTATATGATATGAAATTGGTTTGACTGAAAGGATTGGTGAAATCAATGGATACGTCTATTTGTTGGTTGCGATACAAATCGTATGCGAACTCTATTTTGGTATTTCTTTCGGAAACACTTTCCACGCCATAGAGAACCCCACATATGATGAACATCTCGCCCACTGTCTTGTGATCGATGGTTAGGTTCCAGATGTACTCCACTTGAGTGCCGTTGAATTTCATAACCATTGTGTTGTTGGTGTGATTCGTGGGGAATATAACCCACAGGCCGTTCTCATCGGTGGCGATATCCATGTAGTTGTATTGAGTGGTATACAAGTACTGGTTGGACAACCTCTTCGTGCCGTCCATTACGTTCAAATACGACGAGTCGTTTGTATATAAGTTAAAAATCACTAATTTATTGGTCCCCTCTTCGCTGTAATAGAAGGAACCCGAATATATTGCCTGAGAATTGCCCGAAAACTTGTATAAAAGGCTGTAATTCCTTGAAATGTCATTATTCCTAAACGACTCCTTATTACTGAATTCACTCAACAATTTCTTATCGTCTTTTGTAGTCAACCAATACTTGTGTTCGTCTCCCGGTTTGAGTGGCATCGGGTCTTTCATCCAAGAGCCCCATTCCGAGTCTGTTTCCCTATAAAACACTGGTTTCCCGATTTGACTCAATAGACAATCTGATAATATTTGATCAAATAATATAATTAATATTTTTGAATATATTTTGTTATTATTTGTATTACTATTAGTTCTTTTAGACAATGATTTCCACGAAGAGTTGTTGTAATTTGTGGCCAAACTTACAGAACCTATTTTAGGTCTTCCGTTGTTTTTGCATTGCCTTTGAATGATTTGATTGCATTCCGGACACGGACTACACTCTGTCGCTTCAACTGGCGGTAAAGGCACCTAAAAATACATTTATAGCAATAAATTAACCACAAATTAAAATTATATTTTAATTTTCTTCTTAAATTTAAACACAATAATAGGAATCACATATCAATATAAGTTTGTTGAGTGGGAGTTATATACCGTAGATATTTTTGGACTAATGATAAGGATTTTGCTGTATAATTAAAAATACTTTTGCATTAGATTTATAAATTATAATATAAAACATTAATGAGAAGTGCAATAAAATGCATGAAATAACTTATTTATCGATAAAGTTGTTCGTAAAGACTTATAACATTTAGGATTGCATTGTGTATAAGCTATCGGACAATACTTATACAAGTAGTGAATATTTAATTAAATGAATATTTCAGAAGGCATTGGAATTTAGCTCTAATTTAATGAATAGTCTGTTAATTATGTGAAGAAATAATACAATACCTCTCCATATATAACATATGACGGCTCTTCTAAAGGCTTTTTAGGTAATCGGGGATCGATTTCTGTTAAATAAATGATTAAAATAAATGCAATTAAAAGTTTATTAATAATTAAACGGCGTTTGAATAGCTGACCAAAAACGGTGAACACTCCGTGAGTTTTTCCTCTTTCGTTCTTTGCCACACATTTATACATTCCGTAATCGTTTGGCTCTATATATGTTATATTGAGCACCAGTTTGAACGTAAAGGGAGACAACTCCTGCTGATCCAACTTATACTTCCAGTTCCCTTCGATAATCCTATCGCCGAATTGCCAATAACTCAGTGGCGGAGGGAATGCCTCCACAAAGCACTCCAGTATAGAGTAACTGCCATTATTTGTGCCCACCATCTGATGGGGTGCCGCTATCTTGACCAACGGTGGAACTGTTACGACAAGTGTTATATAAGACAATGATTGTGACATAACAAGTGTGAAGATGTGATTACAGGTCACTTCGACGTTGTATTTCTTGAAAGAAGAGGGCGGAACTCCATTCGTGGCGATACACACGTAGATTCCTAATTGTGTTCACATCACAGAATATGTTATGTCATTACATATCAACGCTTTCTATAGCAAAATAATTGTCAATTTTTATTAGAGATGACATACCGGAGTGCTCTCTACTAATACGTGTGATATTCACTCGATTTCCTTCAATCATCGTATCTGTCAGTCAATTGTCACACATTTGGAGAGGAATTTCATTAAAAACACAAAAACATTAAACATTAGAAAAAAGATAGTAATTACGGGAAACAGAGCCCAAAATAATGGCCTTATTATCGTCTCTACGCCAAGTGATGTCTGGTTTCGGCGATCCACTGGCCGTACACTTGAGTCTCACGTTTTCATTTTCTTTGACGACAATTGTCTGTTGCATTTCAGACATCTCTCCAATTTGTGGCGCGACTGTCAATACAAATCATATTCACTAAACTTACATTTGCCTCAAATAAAAAAAACTCTTATATAAAAAAACTTTACTTAATAAGCTTGTGTTGTGATGTTTCCACGCTTGTATTCCGGGCAGTCCTGCCGTTTAGATGCATAGAGAGTACGAATTTTGTATTAATACCAAACTTTTGCAATTATAACATCAATCATACCGTTAACGCCGTTAACCCCCGGCGGTCCGCGTTTGCCTCTCGGGCCTGAATTCACGCAAACAAGTAATATAAAAATTAAGCAAAATATAATTGCAATCTTAGTAATGATAAAACTTGTATCGCCGGTATGTATAGAAAATATGTACAGAATATGTACAACAATTCCGAACCCATTGCCACACAAATCACACTCAAAATATTGACCGAAATATCGATCAATATATAAAACAAGAAAGTATACGGAATATTAAGTAAGAGTTATTTGAATCAAAATATTGAGGAATTCTGACATAAAGATAGGGATCAACGAAAAGAGTGTACACAGAAGTGAAGACAAAAGCAATGGTTTTCTGTGTCAAAACACATCTAGAAATTCACAATCGAGTAAAGTATAGCAAACATACCGGGAAGACCTGAAACAGTATCAAAATGAATGTATTAATATTTATGTCCAAAATTATTATAATTTCATTGAAAACCTGTAATCCCTGGGATTCCCTATAAATAAATAAAAACATTGATTTAATTGTTTGATTTCAATTGAAAACAATTTTATAATACCTGAGTTCCGCGCTCTCCCTTCAGTCCATGAATACCTATAAGAGTAAAGTTTTTCAGTTTTAATTTAAAACTAGAAATTTTGTTTTTCGTAAAATTAGTTTTTGTTTAAATTAAAAGGAAATTGAAACAATTGATTAAAATCTACATTTTAATGTGTTATATAGTATAGTAAATTATAATATTTTTGTAGTAAATACTGTACATGCACAATTATTTTTTTAAAAATTTATTTTAAATATATTTCATTTCACAGATAAATAGAGAATAAAATAAAATATATAGTAGTTAATAAAATATTGCTTTAAAAAAGATTCACAATTAAATGCAAGATTCAAATTAGATTGTAAATTAATTTATTCAAAATATTTAAATTCACAACACGTTTGAAAGCAAAGAAAACGAATTAAAAGACGATTAAATCAAATAAAAAATATTTCAATTAAAATCTCCAAAAGTATATTAAAATCAATTTAATAAAATATTTAGTTTAAAATTATTTTTATAAAATAAATTAGTGATGGTATCTAAAGCTTGTTTCATATTTAGAGAGACTTAATTAAATTAAGATAGAATTTTATTTAATCACTCAATTTCAATCAAATAATTTTATTTATAATTAATAATAGTTTCGTAACAGTTTTGTAAATTTTTATGTCAATATAGTAATCCAGTTATCCGCAATAAATTAATAAAGTTTCTATAATTAACCCGTATATTCTCACTCTACAGAGTTTTACCGAAATTTTTGAGAATTCCCGTTTAAAATGGTCAATTAAGCTATAGATTTATTATTGTATCATTTTAATAGTTTTATTTGACAATATGAATGTAAATATAACTGGTTTTAATGGTTTTGATTGCCCCCCACTTAGCAATTTTTTTCGGAAATTTACCGATGTTTTATGTTAGAATTTACTTTTGACCATGATAACAAATTTTGTTAGTGCTGTAACTTCATGAATTTGTTAACGTTTATATATAAGATAATCTGGTTGAGTGAGATATTTTATAATGGTATCGGTGTAATGACCAACCGAGTGTGATTAGGGCTAAGACCGGGAATTTAGATTTGAAATTTCGGGTCACTAAAAATAATTATTGTGGTGCAAATTATTAGTGTTGTGATATATCAATTTAAAGGTCTTATTTAGTTGAATCTAGTACATTTTAGACATTTAAAATACAACCTCAAATAGTTGAGTTTTAATTAGTTTTATAATTGTTAATACAGTCTCCCTAAATATGAAACAGACTTTATATATGCTGTGCTTATATAGACACTGGGATTGTATGATAGGACTGGGATTTGTGATGTGAAAACAAATACAGAATAAATAAAACGAATGGTTATGTATTGATATAATAATATACTCGTTGTATTGATATATATGCTGTGCTTATATAGACACTGGGATTGTATGATAGGACTGGGATTTGTGATGTGAAAACAAATACAGAATAAATAAAACGAATGGTTATGTATTGATATAATAATATACTCGTTGTATTGTATGGACACATCTCTACCCAATCTCTATCTTTGGTCGCTATTTGCTTAAGCATTGAATTTTAGTTTCTATAACATTATATAATAAACTCTATGTCCGGACAGGTATTATATCGGCGGACAAAACACAAACAATTTGAAAAAACCAGTTTATTATTAATTATATATTTGTTCGCAGAGTTTGTTAGCAATTATACGAAATTGAATGATACGAAAAAAGCAGAGTTAAACGTAAATACTTTATATAATAATAATAATAAAATAGATGTCATAATAATTAAAAGTAATTATAAATTTTGTGTTTCTCTCCATTCAGAGCAACGTTTCCATTGTTGTTGTGTTTAAATGAAAATACATTTGAGACTCAATTTTATTTCTCTCTCCAAACAAATACAATACAAAAGACAACTGAAAACCAATTATACATTATATTTCATTAAACTATAAGAACTAATTAAAAATTTTCCTCATAAACGCTCTTCTTTTTGGGCCCTTTAATAGCACTAAAACTTATGAAATGCTTAAAGTTTTGACAAAACTGTTATTTAGAAATCAATTTCTTGATTATCATATACAGTATCAGATGTGTACGAAAATAGGGGGCAAAACATTTTGGCAAACATTAACTTCCTTATGATAGCGCATAAACTGTGTGTTTTAAACATAAAATTATTATCTAATAATTCAAACACAACTTTTTATATACAGTATATTTATTCCCGATATAATTGACAGTAAATATGTTTTAGTAGCCTATCATTTGATAACAACCCTTTTGCAGATCTCCGCACACCCGGAGGTCTCTGCACATCACTAGTGATATTGTGTAACATTATATACAAAATCTTCAATAATAAAGCCAATAAAAATGGAGACATTCTTAAACACATTGAGAGACTATTATTGCTATAATTATTATTAAAGAGAAAATATAATAATAATGTAATTTATTTTTTTGATATGATTTTTATGGGCCATAACTCTATTGTATTGAAAGCAATAAATAGTTGAGGAAAAAAATCTGTTCTATACATACAATAATAGCTTATATAATATATATGGTGTGTTATATTACTGGTATATATTCCGTATTGTGTATAGAAATCTATAAATTCAGGGAATAATTTCTGTCATAACCTGAAATAAAAGGAGTTCTGTATATATGATAGACATATATATTGGGCAAAAATTGTTGTGACAGTCAATTGGCCTCAATTTCTTTGTGTTAGAGCCGCACACAAGTAGTATAACAACACTATTTGCGATGTTATATATAAAAGTGTATATAAAAAGATGTATATATAAGGAAAAAATCTCTTTCTGTGTTTTTATAGTAATTTGTTTGGCAGAGATTCAGTCGTTAAGTATTATATATTTTTTCTCTACAATTGAGTCCTTCTTTTATGTTTATGTGTTTGCACTTTAAGTACACATAATATTACAGAATATTCTATATATGAAACATATATATTCTGTGTATACCATATATACGATATATATGTGTGTATTTATGTGTTATGTTATGTGAAAATCTTAGGAATTATAACAATATTCTGTATGTGTTCTTACAGTAAGTCTTAAACATAAGGCTCTCATAACTTATAACAGAATATATTTGTCTTTTATTTCTCATCCTCTGAGCAATACTTCATATAAAGAAAACATGAATTCAATGTTACATTAAATATATNTTTAGAGAAAATCATATTAAACCATAAAATTATATTAAAAATATAAATGAATTTCATGTCAATAGTGTATGTATTATAAGATTAAGTCATTTTTTAGTAAAATATTTTTATTATTATATGCTTTATACAAATCCTATGAGAAAATCTGATGGGATTTAAACCATAAATATTGTATTGAATATAATGTACAATAATTAGTGTTTGAGTTAACTATTGATTGTTATAAATACATAAAACGTATCTCTCGTACGAAATATGTCTCTCATATATAAATCTCATTATATTATACAATACTAATCATAATAATAATAGCGAAGTGAATGAATTGGAAAAATAAATCTCATATTTATTTAATGCCATTAATTATGTAATAACAAAAATAATAGCACAGAATATATATATATAGTATTCATTAAATTAATTTATTGCATATAATGTCCGAAACAATTATCATATAATTCTGTTTAGAGTGAAAATTCTCACACAATTCATGACAAAAAACATTGACACGAGTAGTGAACTGAAGGGCACTGGAGAGTACAGTGTCTTTCACTCCATTGCCATCCCATATATATTAATAGTCACCTTATTATATGCCTGTCCTCTCATTTACCAGACGTTTTGTTAATTACTTTTACGAATGAAGAGAAAATACATTTAACAAAATAAAAAATTATTTTAATTTATGTTCACATATTGAACAAAAGATGTATAGTGTTTAGCCGTACAGACAGACAATTGTATTCATAAATTACAATTTCAGCTCATTTTTTGTCTGTGTGTTGTGCGACGGGTTGTGGGACAATGCGATGGCATATATTCCCGCATACAACTCATTTGTCTTGATAATTTTGCCCCGATGTAGGCAAACCACCATTATATCTCATGTCTATTTCTGGCTATTTTTACGGCAAACTCACGGTATGACACAATTGTGGTCACTAATAGTGAGTCACTATANTACAACTCATTTGTCTTGATAATTTTGCCCCGATGTAGGCAAACCACCATTATATCTCATGTCTATTTCTGGCTATTTTTACGGCAAACTCACGGTATGACACAATTGTGGTCACTAATAGTGAGTCACTATAATTGTTGTGTAATCTTATAGACATTTTTTCGTTAGAAATTCAGTTAATTTTGACAGATTGTGAGCACCGACTCCTTTAGATGGTTATTGTGTGCCAATCCCTGGTCATCCCTGTCCTCCTATGTTAACACACATGTCTCTATGCATTAAGGGTTGAATAAAATCTAAATAAATAGATATAAATCAGATGCTATTAGTGCTATGTAAAGCTTGTTTCATATTTAGAGAGACTTAATTAAATTAAGATAGAATTTTATTTAATCACTCAATTTCAATCAAANGATGGTTATTGTGTGCCAATCCCTGGTCATCCCTGTCCTCCTATGTTAACACACATGTCTCTATGCATTAAGGGTTGAATAAAATCTAAATAAATAGATATAAATCAGATGCTATTAGTGCTATGTAAAGCTTGTTTCATATTTAGAGAGACTTAATTAAATTAAGATAGAATTTTATTTAATCACTCAATTTCAATCAAATAATTTTATTTATAATTAACAATAGTTTCGTAACAGTTTTGTAAATTTTTATGTCAATATAGTAATCCAGTTATCCGCAATAAATTAATAAAGTTTCTATAATTAACCCGTATATTCTCACTCTACAGAGTTTTACCGAAATTTTTGAGAATTCCCGTTTAAAA